AATGCATAAAGTTGACTCTCAATTTTCTACACCAACTTGACTCAATTTTATGCACCAACTTGACTCACAATTCATGCATTAATTGGCTTGCAATTTTTTGCATGAAGTTGACTCAACATATTTTGCATAAAGTTGACTCACAATTTTACACTTAAAATTGTATGTTAATGACTTGCTGAAATGCTTAGATTTTTTTAGATCTGTAAGCAATTTTTCTTTGTGCTTTTAATGGATAAATTTTTTGAGTTGAAGTTTGAAGAAAATCCCATAAATGTCAATATTTTCAACATTTTTAGCAATATTAAAGACTTGGGACAACCCTTGTTTGATAAATGCACTTTAAAATTGGTTTGTTCTCTTTATTCCATGAGTGAAAATATTGAAAAAGTGACAAAAATTTATTTTTCACTATACCATGTCTCAATCTCCAAAAATTCTGCAAGACCAAAAAGTCTTCTATTTTCTGGTTTTTAGTTGATTTATTTTGAAAAAATTAAAATTTCTGAGGCTTTTAATTTGACTCTTGATTATATTTTTTGACGAGAATAATTCCAAACAAATTTTGCCTTTGCAAAAGCAGCAGCTTCAAGAAGAGGCCAATGCAAAAATGCGGAACATCCTCAACGGCGAACAAGTGAAGCTTGCGGAAGCTTTGAATCATCAAGCGCAACTCGCTGATTTGCTGCAGCATGAACATGAAATGGCGATGAAGAAATTGCGATCCGATTTGGCACAAGACTTTGAAGCTCGACTTAAGGCGACTCTGGAAACGGAGCGACTCAATAGTAAAACCACTCTGGTTGCGAGACTGCGAGAAGCTGCGAAAAACAGTCGGGATGTGAGTTATGATATTGTGCGGGTTTTGCTGTACATTGAAGTCTCGTTATGACGAATTATTGTTTAGAAGAAATTCCTTTTTTTTGAGGTCCCTATGATGTTCACATTATATAGCCACAATTTTACTTGAAACTCTATGGTAACATATTTTCTTTTCTTTTGCAGCAATGGTTTCATATTCAAATTACCTCCAAGACTTGAGTGTGCAATTCAGTACATGAGTGAACATTTCAAGTTTTTGTAAGGGATACTTGCTCTACTGCTCTTGTGCTCTCTTGTTGAGTGTCTCATATTCTTGTTACTATACTCTTACTGTGTTTGCTCTTTTGAATATTATTCCTCTAAAAACTTGCCCTTCTGAAACTTGGTCTTTTGAAACTTGCTCTTTTGAAACTTGCTTTTTAAAACTTGCTCTTTTGAAACTTGCTCCATTGAAACTTGCTCCATTGAAACTTGCTCTTTTGAAACTTGCTCTTTTAAAACTTGCTCTTTTTAAACTTGCTCCATTGTAACGTGCTCCATTCAAACTTACTCTTTTGAAACTTACTCTTTTGAAACTTGCTCCATTGTAACTTGCTCTTTTCAAACTTGCTCTTTTCTACCTTGCTCTTTTCAAACTTGCTCTTTTCAAACTTGCTCTTTTCAAACTTGCTCTTTTCAAACTTGCTCTTTTCAAACTTGCTCTTTTCAAACTTGCTCTTTTCAAACTTGCTCTTTTCAAACTTGCTCTTTTCAAAATTGCTCTTTTCAAACTTGCTCTTTTCAAACTTACTGCTATTTTAAAACTTGCTCTTTTGAAGCTTGCTCGATTGTAACTTGCTCCATTGAAACTTGCTCCATTGAAACTTGCTCTTTTGAAACTTATTGCTCTTTTGAAACTTGTTCCTTTGAAACTTTCTCTTCTGTAACTTGCTCTTTTGAGGCTTGCCATTCATACACTTGCCCTTTTTATACATTCTTTTTTCTTTCTCTTTTTAAATGGCTCTTTTTGTTATGTGTTCATTTTACGCTTTGCCTTTTATACTGTACGCCTGCTCTTTTCATACTTGGTTGTGCTTTTTTCTATGTTCAGATTGTTGTGTATCATGCATGAGTGTCAGAAGAGCAAAATGCAAATGAACTGGTTTTTTTTTATTGCAGAAGCTCATTGATCTTATTCCCATTCCTATTGCTTCCTCTCTTTATGACCTGTATTTTTTTTAATAATCACTCAAACTAAGTGCATATCTGAAATTTAGATCAAAAATTTTTT